ATATATATATATATATATATATATATGCGTGTATATGTTATACATATATATATTTTGGTATTTTCATTGGTATGTGCGTATAGCTGTGTATAGGTGTACATAGTAGTAAATGGTTGTTATAATTTTGTTGATTTTCACTTTTCGCATAATTGTTTATTAATGATTTTAAACAAGCGTTCGGGATAATGTTTGCGTGAGGGTTAAAGTCGTGAAGGTAGAATGGAAGTAGAATAGAAGGGAAAGGGATTGATTTTATTTAAGATTTCGGCTTGTTCTACTTAAATATTCTGTATACCATTTATTATGGATATTATTACCCATGAAATTGACAGTGATTGTTGTAATGCTTTTTGTCACACGTCCTCTATGCATTGGGATGAATTTATTTATTTGTATTATTTAATTTTTTTCTTTATATGATTGCAAGTGTTTGTTAACGACTTTGATAATTATTGTTATTTTTATATATATATATATATATATATGTGTTATTAGCTGCGTTGAAAGAAGACTACCGAGTCGATGTTGATAGAAATTAGGTTAAATTTCAGGAAAATTCAAGCCGACTACGTTTGAATTTTCTTCCCTTTTCTGTTTTATTTACGAGCCATGTGAAACTTACAGCGATAACAGCTTGACTGCGCCATCGCCGAAGGATGAGGTGAGAAGGATTTGCAAGCGACTCTAACAAACGAGACAAAAGCTATTAAAAGTGTTTCTGTCTGTTTTCGGCCAAAGAACTGATATAGAAGATTAAATTCGAGAATGTCGATCGTCATGAATCATATTTTTAAGGTAAATGGGTGTCGCAAGCAAAGTCTCCATTTAAAAATATACTTGAAGTTAGGCTATAACGAGATAATTTTCCCATTTTCTAAACTCATGTTGAGAAGGAGGCAAAAATAATTTACTGTTTCATGGAAAAAATTTTGAGGTCGTGTGATTTAACCAGATAGACGCTTGCGATCGGAATGAGAGTTCCAAAGCGTAAAGACCAACATATTTTACAATCTTTTAACGACCAAAGTCAGAGCTTTTGTAGCCATGTGATGATCTGAGACATTACTTCAATTTAAAATAAGTAAAGCCATTATAATCAGCAGCGGATAATTACTATATACTTAATAGCATTGTATATTGTTGGGGTGACATATCCAATCCGGACAGTTTTTAATAGCGTTATAGTAAATCTCATCAAAATGTCGCAAATGTTGGGATCTGTAGGTTGAACAAACATTCAAAGGACAGATGGACAGACAGGTAGAAAAGCATAGATTGAGTCGGGAAGTGATTCTGAATTGATCGATATGATGAAAGCATGGATCTATCTCAAGTCTGTCTGGTTGTTATATGTGTCATTTTACTCATAATATGAAATAATTTAAATGAAAGTATTTGATTAAACTTTGTTTATAATTTGAAAATTGCGTGGACATATTCAAATTCAATGCGTTTATTAAATAATTTCTTAAAAGTAATCGTAATTTGTAATTCAAGAGATAATTTTTGTATAGATCTCGAAGCAGTTGCTGACTGCTTTTCTTTTAATTTTCTAATCTCAAGTCGACTCTGCAGCTTTTCACTTATATATACTAAGAACTCTTCTTCTTTACTCTTGTATATCTGTATACATGTACGCATTCATACAATTCGCTATTATTAAACTCTATAAATATAAATGTTTATCGTTTCGTATATATATATGTATATATATATATATATCTATATTTATGTCTGTATCCGTGAGTGTGTGTTTATGAGTGTTTATGTGTATACGTATATATATTTTTCTTTTCGTTTTACTAAAAACCCTGCTTAATTGTTTGATTAACTCTATAAAAATCTACTTGTCAACATTAACTTCATCGGAGTAGTAAATAATAGTAAATTGAATAACAATAAACCTGTAACGGCATATGTGTACAAAATTAATCAGCAATTTTTGGTTCCTGCGCCCACCACTAACACCAATACTATGGAAGATACTTGCCCAGGATATTTAAATATAACTACATATATATATATGTGTGTGTACTTTCGAACAACTATCCTTACAAAGAGATAGAGAAACGGAGTACATTTTGTAATATTTTTGAATATATCGTGGAAGTGTGGATTGGATTCTTCCATTAAAAGCTAAAATAACATTTCCCAGTATGGACATAACCGATACTTTTTTTGAATGACTGCTACGCAGAAAAACTCTCGCAATTGCTTAGATTAAGCTGAATATGGTAAATTACTAGTAACTAATTTAATCTACACATAGAAAAGAAAGAAAAGAAGAAAAAAATGATATTCGACTGTGATCGCTCTACGAAAAAACTAAATTTCCTTACTATATAAAATTGCGGGGGGTTCAATGGCTGATTTCCATTTCCATTTTTGTAGAATATATAGGATAGGGATAATGAGCAAAAAAACCAAGTAGTCACAGGCTGCCAGTTCATGTTCGACCGTAGACATGTCCTTTAACTAATTTGGCGGAATTGTGCACGAACTTCGTGGAGGAATACTTGCCACAGCTATTACATAAACTGGCAGCCAGACAGACAAAAGGACACACATTCTTAGATGCAGTCCGTGTGTGATATTGATCACAAACACATTAAAATATTCAGTTGTCGTTGCCAATTGCTTCAATTTTTGTACAAAAATTTCGCTCATAGAATACATGGAAATTTTTATAGTTTTACATTGTGCAGTTCGCGAGCAATAAGCGCAAAACCAATTTCATTACGGTGTCTGAAGCTTTTTTCTGGATATTGCAAAAGTTTTGATAAATTAGATCAACTTCCAGCGTTCGGTGGTGGGTATAAAAACAGTCAGATAATCCTTTAGCTAATATTGACATGAAATCCTCTTCAAATAAATATAGTTCAAGCACCTAAAAGTTGTATAATCCAAATCGATCTGTTTAATAAAAACATGAGCTTTAAGTGTCGAGAATTCGTATACGGTTTTAATTCGTGGTGGATAATATCACTGCGGCCGTCAATCATACCGTAAATAATTTTGAATTTTTTCATTTGCTTTTAATTACGAAAATAATTATTTAATTGAATAAATATAAAGTAGGGAAAGAGGAAAATATAAAATGAAAAGAGATTACTTTTCCTACCATAAACTAACAAATAATTGACATCACCATATACGTGCGATACACATATGTACATAATTTCAAACTCATAATAATATTTATACAAAACACCAACACTTTGAAACGAGAAACGAGAAACGAGTCTTGCTAAGGAGTCTATTTTACAACTTAACGGTACCTGGGCATCTCTTATAAAATAATGCATAAATTTTCTTGAAAATTCATCAGTTTAACAACAAATAAATTAAATCTAATGTCATAGACAGTATACTTAATGCGATAAGATTGGGTTTTAACCTCCAGCAGTCGTTGAGTATCTCTTTACTATGATCAGGTTTCCCAAAGATATCATCCGATTCGTTATCGTTAGTCTTATCCACAAGTGATTTTTGCTCCGATAACGTTATTTCATTGATTTGTGATTTAAAATCTATATAAAAAGGAAAGAGACAAATAAATTGATTTTAATATCAAATACGGAAAATATACGAATATAGGAAAAGATAGGGGATTCGTATTAAAGAAATTCTTCAAATGTATTCAAATGTACTTAGACAAGTCTTTCTATTCTTTATGGCACTATCATTTAGTAATGAGCGATTAATCACTACTTTATGCTTTAAGTTGTTTGTATTTTTTTTGGAAGTCTTACTTAACTTGAACAAACAAATTGAAAAATACGCCTAAATATTACAAAAAATACAAAATTTTTTGTAATATTAGTTTGGGGAAAAAGAAATCCATTATTTTTTCGGTAGATGGCTGCACTGATAGATTTCTCGTAAAGTATCGATCAAACAATTTCAGATTTAAGCTCGTTGGAAACGTGACATTTCGCAGTAAAAAAAATTCTTTTGCTGTTTTTTGTTTGGTGCATTCAGTTGTGAGTTACAGCGTGTTAAAAATGAAAGTGAACAAAGAGAAAATTCGGTACATTTTACAGTTTTTCTTTGACAAAGGCGAAAATGCAAGCCAGGCGGCTAAAATTGTGAATGGTGTTTATGGTTCCGATACTGTAACAGCCAATTATGTGCAATTTTGGTTTCGTAGATTCCGTTCAGGAATTTTTGATGTTAAAGATGCACCTCGCACAGGGAGGCCGGTCGTCGAAAATGTCGATAAAATCGGTGAAATGAACGAAGTTGACCGGCATATTAGCAGTCGTAGCATCGCCCAAGAGCTAAAAATCGACCATAAAACAGTTTTAAACCATTTACACAAAGCTGGATTCAAAAAGAAGCTCGATGTTTGGGTGCCACACCAATTAACAGAAAAAAACATGATGGATCGAATTTCCATCTGCGAAGCCTTGGCCAAACGGAATGAGAGAGACCCATTTCTTAAACGGATGGTGACTGGAGATGAGAAATGGATCACATACGATAACCCTGTGCGAAAACGATCGTGGTCAAAGAGCGGTGAAGCACCTCAAACGGCCAGGAAGGTTTTGCTATGCATTTGGTGGGACTGGAAGGGGATTATTTATTATGAGTTGCTTCCATATGGCCAAACGCTAAATTCTGATCTCTACTGTCAACAACTGGACCGTTTGAAGATACCGATTGACCAGAAACGGCCAGAATTGTCATCTACAGTGACTCGCCAGAAACTTCGGGAGCTTGGTTGGGAAGTTTTAATGCATCCGCCATACAGTCCGGACTTGGCACCAAGCGATGATCATCTTTTTCTTGCATTGCAAAATTTCTTTAATGATAAAAAATTGGAATCTAGGGAGGATTGTGAAAATCGACTACTAGAGTTTTTTGCAAATAGAGATCAGGACTTCTATGAGAGAGGCATTTTGAAATTACCATTAAAATGGCAACAAATCATACAACAAAACGGTGCATATTTGACCCAAATCGGACAATCCGAAGAATGTTAAATAAACTCCTGAAGTTCATATAAAAATAATGGATTTCTCTTTCCCCAAACTAATATTTTTTTCTTCTTTTTTTCTCTCTAAGTCATAACAGAATCCGTGAGCAGTTCTATTTAAGCGTCCAAATTCACTGCTGACTCGAATATCTTCGTAGATATTTAGGACCTCATAAGAGGAGTTCTTCACAAGTGCATGATTCTATATAAAATATAGTGAATTATCATCCTTCTGTCTGTCTGGCCGCTCTCTACATTCATTGACTGTTTTGGGTGAAAAGCTGAATCTTTGCATTAATCGAACGGAAATTTGGCATATTTGTGTCTTTGTAGCTACCGCAAATTGGATAGAGTAAATGATGCTAATCAGGCCTTGGATATCACTATGGATATAGGCGGCCAAGTTGTCTTTCCTAAATTCCTACCTAAGTGGTAAAATATGGGGGACTTTAAAAAGGTGTTCATATATATATGACACGCTGCTGGTCAGAAAGCGAAAAAGATAGGAATGAGTGCCAGCAGTCTCTTCAATGTGTCGCCAATTGGTAATTGTTATGCCTTTATCGACTGATCGGACTAACCGGACTTGAAAAAACAATAAAAAAAACCGAATTTGCCTTCGTTGTAATTGGTAGAAAATTGTGAACCGCGAGCTTCTTCAAGCTGGGCTAAGTATTGATAACACTCTTTGCTTTCAACAAAACATCCGGAATTTGTCAATAGTAAGGTCCTTGTTATCTTCAATCATGACACAAATAAATCATTCACATCTTTAAGGACACGGGCAAAAGTTTAGAGAACTTATTCTCTTTATAGCCCTGACTTTGCCTCGTCTAACTGTTATACGTTCCGCTTTTTGCAGAACTCTTTTAAGGATACAAAGTCAACTTTAAATGAAATCAATTGAAAATCATTTGTTTTAGATTAACAACCATATAACGGTTCCGCCAAAAACGTATTAATCAAAATTGCATATCATTAGCTTAAATAAGATCAATTTAGAATATAAGAAAGTGAGCATAAATTCTGGCGAAAGTGTATATATTCGTACTTTGCCAGTTCTGCAGTATTAATGCGTCTTACACGGGTCTTGCATTATGAAAAGGAATGTGCCGTCCTGCTGATAAATTGCTGTACAATGCCCTTTCGGGTATTGCTTATACACTGAGCGTAATCTTTTATATTATTATTAAAGGCAAAAGGTAGATGAGCATGTTCTGTAGCAAAAAAGTTACAAATTTCGTCCACATTGTAGCGCTTACAAGTAGATAAGATAGTACTTTTTTTTAATATATATTTGTTCTTAGTGGATTAGTGACAGACAGACACAAACACACACACGCACGCAAACACTAGATTTTTTCATTTATACTAACTTTTTTCTGAACGTGATAAATCCGCACTGTATCCATTATCCATTCGGTTCAGATCTGTATTGAAATTTCCATATTGAATCGTTGTCGGTGGATATGATACTGAAAAGATATATTTTTGAAAAAACAAAGCTAATTAATCTTTTATGTTAAAGTATTACAGAGAAAATTGTCATTGCATTCATTGTCTATGAAATGAATGCAAGGAAAATATGTTATATGAAGACAGTTCAGGAAACATTATAACGATACGCTATTAAATACGTATGAGCGAGGAGTTCCATTGTTAAGATATTTTTATTCTGCAGTCAATTAATTGAATCAATATGTCAGCTGCAATAAATACGATAAGAGTTTGTTTTGAAAACAAAAATATGTTGTAGTTTGATATGTCACTACACATAAAATTGTTGCATAGGCGTACATTATGCATACGTATGTAAAGATAAATGAATGTTTTGAAAACAATATGACAGCAAAAACATTCACACACACCCATAAAAGTAATTTGTTTTTCCTCTTTATTTAGCTTATTATTGAAATTATTTCTATATTTGGGCGTATTAACGCACACACACACATCATTACTATTACCATTATTATTATATAATTATTATTATTATGTAAAACCATATATAAACAGGATATGTATGTTATGTATGCAGGCATATGTACATGTGGATGAAATTTCAAATTATGTTTTTATAGCTATGACTAGTATGACAAATTTAATTGCTGTTAAATTTGTAACACGAATACCTAGTTACACATAGTTTAAATCGATAATCAATTTGAAATTTTCAATTAACTCGATATCAAAATCGAGGAATTTAAGGGCAAAGTAAAATAATAATAATAATAAAGTATTGAACAATTTTTGTTTCAAATATACGCCATTTATAGCGAATAGGAAAAGGGAAATATTTCCTTTATTAATATTCGCGAACATTACGCTGACTTCAAGAGTTCTCGATCGTGTCTAGTATTGGCTTGTGATCGGAATAACAAAATATTGAACATAAATTATTTAAGTGCTTGTAATCGTTTAAAGAAGCTTTGGGATAAGCTTAATAGAAAAAACCATTAAACATCATTCAATCATTCAAGCCACAAAAGTATGTAAAATTTCTAGAATCAGTGCTAGGCTGCATCTGACTAGACTGTCTCATTAAGTCCTTGCGTAAATGTTCGAACGACTGGAAGTGAGAGGAGCTAATACGATTGATTATGAAATTAATTAAGAAAACGTGACCTGCAAACGGTACGATTTTCAAGTCAAACTTCAACAAAAATAGACGTAGAGTAGGATTATGCAAGATACTGCCCAACCAATCCATTAGTTCAATTAGAAATCGTCGACTTTTGAACGATAGTTTAGATGAAGTGAATTTTAATTAAGCTCAGGCTTTTATCAATCCTTGAAAGTGAAGGTGTAACCAAAATCTTCTTATTTTTCTAACCCGATAAAATATTTGCACGTGTTGTGCGGCCCTCCAAGCGAGGATGGAAGGATGACTCCATCCTCCATCATCGCGCACTATATACATCTAAGTATTTACAAAAGGGGGTAAATGATTGTTGTGTTACTTATGCATAGATCTTGTTTCGGCTTAAGGAAGCTACGAAAGGTTAGTAGATTCCGACAGATGGCCCTATAGGTTAACTTCTGTGTTATTGGATTGATTGTAAGTAATAATTTAAATTTAACGTTGACTTCCTTAAAATAATTAAACGATATTACAATGTAATTATTTTGAAGCTTGCAAGGTTGCAAGTCGGCAAAACTACCACGTACGTTGTTGTTCTGAATTGTGGAGCTATTCCTGCTCAATGTCAGACCTCATTTGATGAATAAGGCTAAGCCGAGGAAATTTGAATGAAAAAGATGATACTCGTGATACGCCTGTGTGTCTTTTGATAATCAAAGATTTCTTCGTTAAACGATTTTTGTTGGGTAGACTCGATGATATAAGGACGGAAGTAAGGCAATGGATTTTAATTTTCACCTAAAGCTTATATGAAGCATTTTGTTTCAAGTGTAACCTAGTTACGTAATATACCTACGATGCGTACACGTTATGTCATGATGAGCTCATCGGAGATTTAATGATAATCAGTAACAAAAAATGTCTCAGCTTTTTGTTTTCTCATTTCATTTTACTCATCGTTTTATTTTTTAAACGTTAAAATAAAATGTAAGATAACATCCATCGTGATGAAGACCAATCGATAATGTCTTAATTGGGCGCCTTTTATTCATTGTGTGTGGCCATAGCTCAGCTCATATTGGGGTTTTTGTGAAAATTTTCGTTAAAGTCACGTGCACAACAACTGCAAAGACAAACTCGCTCTGCATTCGTGCACAACAAAAAGCAAACTTTTTACTTTACTCGAAAAATTTTATTGGTAACGTGGCAGCAATGGGAAAGAGTAGAGTTTGAGCTACTCCGTAGCTGAAATATGGAACAAAACATTAATCTAGACATTCATACACACTCAACTGAAATACAAAATCACAACGATATATATATATATATATATATATATATATAATATGTACGTATGAGGTAAAAAGTATTTAATACGCTCGCGGTACACTCGGTCTAAGGAGTTGTGTGCTGCGAAGCTGAAGCATCAAGAGAACAATAAAGTTAATATCACGTAACATTACGTAATTACGTGACCGTCTTAACTTTAAATTTAATACAACAACAACATATTTATTATGGTGGCAAATTCTTCACTTGCAGCACTAACGCTCTAATGCTCTCCATTGATGATGGTTTGTGTGTACATATCGAGCCAGCGACGCTTTATACAAACTTTGCATTATTCTCCGCTGTACTTAAACAATGAATGCATTTCAGCATATTAAAGCCTTCCATTTTTCTATTTCGAATGCAAACACTGATTTGTTTGGATAGCACATACACACAGACACACACACACAAATACTATAAAAAAATAAGAAAAGAAAATGTTCAACTTTTCTTACAATCAACTACGACAGATAAATAGCCTTAAGAAGGAAATTGAAGTGAAGAGTGAACTTTTTCCCACAAATAAAAACATTGCCAACACACACATACACATATATATATATATATATATATACTCGTTCACCGGTAAATACACTTTCTTGTGCCGAGCAATATTTTTCCTTTTGAGTGTCTTTGTAGGTGTGTTGGTGCGTGCCATTGTCTTTTCGGTCACGTAAAATAGCCAAAGGACTTGTTATTACCAATTATTCCCAATTTTTATGTGTTGGCGCATTAAATTTCAATGCGGTTTATATTTGTAAAGGCAAAATGATATGTCAATGCAGTTTACGTCTATTATGTCAATATTGCAATATCCGCTGCACAGCATACGTTCACATATTGTTAAAGTTTGCCAATAGTATTGTATGTGGTAGCAATCGAAATACAGTTTCAAAATTGGATATCTCAGATGCCATTGTGCGACTTACTGCCTCTTAAATATTATGAACGAGAATTCGGATGAAGTAGATTTGTACTACTGGCGGGACAAATAGGATCACAATCCCAGAGAATTCAAACTATTTTTATATTAAAGTTACAAACAATTTTTAACGCTTACGGAAAGTTTTGCGATTTCCATTCCAGTCATAGCATTAGACTTTTCACAAGTAACTTTCACTCATTTGACTTATGACTGCACTCCGGACGAGTATAAGAATTTAGTGACGTTTTATTCCTCGTATCTGTTAATATTCTTAATATTATTATCTTCCCATGTCCAGTGGATCCATTATAACCAATCTATTAGACTTGCAAAGTTATGGGTATACCTTAAAAGCGTTTTCCAAAGGTCAGCAGGCTAATGTTATTTACACCGAATCCACTAGGGCTTTTGTTAGAATGAACCATGACTTGCTTATCTTTAGCTTTGGTTTATATGGCTTTTACGATATTTTGTGTACGTACATCACTGTACTTACAATAATACTAGAAAGATTGTAGTTTCGTCTGCATTCCCATAGGATAATCATCTTGGAATTTTACTCTTTGTTCTATTGATATTATACGCATATAATCTACGGGCTACGTATTTTAATGTAAGCTAATGATGTCGCTTTCATTTGGCATAAAAATAGATCGTCTAGAGCAAGATTTAGAAACCTTAGTGACTTGAAGCAAGCTAGATTCCATGTCTCTTAATCCTAGTAAATGTAAAAATTGTCATTTTTTGAAAAAGCTTGCATGTATGGATTACACATAATGCACATAGGCAGACCTTTGAGGACGTGTTCCACAGATTTCGTTTTGTGTTTGATATCAAATTGCGTTTCGACCTAAAGCCACCTGAACTGTGGGACTTGTCAAAAGGTGGCCTTATGACTTTAATGACCCTTATATAACAAAAGCTCTATTCATTGTGTTGGTCAAGGTATCAATGCAATAATACACTTTCCAAATTATGATATTGAAGAGAGAATCTTTCAAAAATATTTTCCTATTTTTGCCTTACACGGGCTTGGATGGAGCCACCCTTGTTTTCTTCCTCCATATGTTAACCGCTTCAAGTTGATTTATTTTCTAATCCGTTATTAGTAAAGGTTTGCACCTGGGATCAGTCTTTTGGTTGCTTTGGCAAACGGAGTAACCGAGTCACCAGTTTTTTTTTTGTAAAACTAATTTTAATATCTTGCGGCGAGTATCGAGGCACTATATACCAATTACGTTAATTTACCGTTCTATCACTTTAACTATTTGGTGCTTAACCCCATTTATGTTGCTTGTAAGAACATTAATGATTATTATCCTTTATTCGCCTTTTCTGGTTAGGTTAACTGAATCAAAATGTTAATAATCCACTCAACATATAATGTTAATTAAACTACTTTTCATAAAGTAATTATATAAATAAAGGTTGAATACGTATGTATGAATGAATTTACGTCTTTTTTTATTATTGTTAATCAAATAGATATTGTGTATTTAAATTTAAGCAACGTAACACTAACTGCAACTTTAAGATTCTTTGTATATTGCAAGTGGTATAACACGAATGAATGAATAAATAAATAAATAAAATGTATATATACAATGTATCCGTACCTAATATACGATTGCTTGATTCCTCTATAAATTATACTCTCATGCATTCATTAAACTATTCATAGATTTCCTCCATTCCTACTTCGTTTGGTGGGCGTAACAAATTTCCTAGAAATACTGAAGGACAGAACTCGCAAAGCCTGATATGATGCTTATTGATCTGTTGCTTATTAAATTTCTTGCTTTGAATATATTTCTCAACCTGCTCTGCTAATGGTTTAAATAACAGAAATTTCTATGGATATGAAGTCGTCTACGATCGAAAATTTCCTATAAATTTATCACTATTACTTTATGTAATTTATTTGAAGACAGAACGAAGACTCATTGGGACCGATATAAATCATATATCAAACCCACAGTTTTACACAATTTGGAAGTAGTTGTCATACAATTAAGAAGATCCCCTTCTGTCTCTGAGCACAGAGATGATTTCATTTCTTACTCTGATGTAAGTACAACATTATTCTGCTCTTCTCGTAACTATCGTTACAAAATATTTCTATATAGAAAATTTACGCTTTTCACGCAATTTTACTTAAACACATTCGAATCATATAATGCTGTCGGCAAAAAATGCACACACAAATAAACAGACAAGCATTTATTTGTCCCATTGTATCGTAAATAAAAAGAACCTGTTAACTATTGAGCACGCCACAGGCATCAATAAGGGAATCCAATCGAATTAAAGCGATTCTATTAACACATACACACACTAACAACAAAACACAACAAACAAAAAAAATCATTGAGAAGACTTTAGCAGCAAAATGTCTTTCATCAAAAAAAAAAAAAAATTCCCTAATAAAAGCTTAGCGTACATATAAAAATTGAAAATGTGAACTATTAGCCTTAAACCACGAATTTAAATGAATGCGAAACGTTATATAAATGATAAAAGTTCCTAAGGATATAAACACACTTATACATGATGAAAATGAAATATAATAATAACACCGGTAGTGCAACAACTGTTAGCTAAAAGCGCAGTCAATAGAATTTGTACGCACAAAAAAGATATAGATGTGGAAATACATAATAATAAGTACCTATACTTCAACGTACAACTTATGCTACTTTGTATGCGCTTTCCTCTCTGTCTCTCTCTCTCTTTTCAATTTAATTATTTATGTGAACAATTTTATGAAGGTTCGCCTGCTGTGACTCTACGCACATCTGTTTAGTTGTGTAACTTCAATTTAATTTGTCTCAACTTAAGTTTTCTACCACAATTGCAGTTTAGGTTTCCTTTTAACTTTCTGGGTTTCCTTTCTCTTCACATTGTTACATTACAATGCATATAACAAACGTTCGCCGTTGGGATTATCGAAAGCGTAGAGAAAGACATGAACATTATTTCTCTTCCTTGCTTAAGCGGTTTTCAAATGAAAACATATAAAAAAAAAAATGAAGAAGAAGAACCTTGAAGTTGAAATTGAAAGTTGTTGCGCGAATCTTGGTTATTCCCATTTTTCAAATAATTTCCTTCTCAATTATCAAGGTGACAGACAATGGATATAGATTGCTTTCAATTTGAATTTAAAGATGTGCCGTACAAGTGTTTGCGACACATGTTCTTTCTCTTCGAATTTCTTTTACTTTCTTAGCTTTTCTGATCAATCACATCAAAATTATGTCAACTTTTAGGTTTAATTTGTCGAATTATTTCGCGAAAATAAATGATGTATGGAAAGTTGGTTCAAAAATATGATATGTGTTCGAATTATAAGAATGCTAGACCGCCCTAATTCCATTGATGAACGTAACAGGTGATAAATGTACAAGAATCTCGTGGCAAATAAGCAAACACATAAGAGAGAGAGAGAGAAACTTGCCGTCGCTTCTTATCCATCTAAGTCCATGTTTAACAAAATTCCCGCTTTACCTTATCATGAGTCGTGGCATTCAATTCGATTTGATATATTCGGACATTCGCACCGAAGATCCATATAAAATATAAGTAAAACATTTATTCCTATCTACCAATGAATTTTTGTAATGTTCTATCCGCACAACCTGGAGGGCACGCGTGGGCAGTTGATAGTTGATCAAATGAACTTTCAGTTACACCGGTATCATATTGGTGATATAGCCCAGTGTGTCTAGATGCAACATATATTAAAGTAAAAATGATATATCGGGCCCACCATTATTTACCATAACACACTAGGCTTAATGCGATTATTCAAAGTGATGCGGCGTATCGAAGTGCTTAACAGCGTTCGCGTTCGGGCCAAAACACTTTGGTGTATCAAATTTCATCAAAATATTTCACAAAAATTGTCGCCTATAATACCTACACCAAAAAGTGATGTGGGGTATAAAAGTATATACTTAACCTTACACGCTATATATATATAGAAAGGATTTAAGAGATAGGTAAACACCCGATAGCCATTCATATTTTGCGATGTATTCTGTTAGATTTTCTCCTAATTCCGTACATTTCTGCATATAACGTACTTTCTAAGTAGGTTTTTCTTATTCAGTACCGTAACTTGTAAGTTGTGTTTGCAGTAGTACAAGAAAGAGACTTCAGTATCACATTTTGAATCGTTCCAAGCACGTGCGTTTGTCCATCCGTAGTTAATGTTCTTCTAGCGAAGATACCGATTTTAAACAGTAGTATTGCAAGTAGGTTGCTAATAGACGTGGGCTCAATCAGTTAAAGAGCACGTCCACAGAAGAGCACAAAATGCGAAAATCCCTGCAACAAAATGGAATTTCATCTGATTACTCATATGTGTGTACAAGAGATACAACAATAAAAATTTCCACATATGTTTAAAGGATGATATTACAGTGCCGGTAGAAAAATTAAAAAATCCACCACGCCGAAGCCATATTATAGGTTTTTTCTCGCCTTTTTTTCAGCTTTTCCCTCTTTTTTCATAGAGTAGGTGGGTGCACATTGTAAATTCGGTCGCAGCCAATTTGTTTCAATTTCAAAAAGTTCTTTTTGATATTTTTTATAATTGTAAACGAACATGATCCCTTAGCTACAGCAAATTAAACTCTAACCTTAACATGTTAAACTTACTAACACAACTTAAGCCTTCAAACCATATTTAAATTGTTGAAATTGTAAATTTTCTGTACTTATACACTGCTGCCATACCACATATGTAATTAACAATAATATTTTACTTTTGAGAGAATTAAAAGTCTTGCAGCTGCTACATTGGGCTTTCCTTCTAGGGTATAAATTTAGTTGTAAGTTAATTATTAAAATGAATAAAATAAATACATAAATAATAAATAACTTGGTTTCAAAGCAACGATTGCAGTTGGTATGTAGAAAATAGAAAATGATGAAAACTTACCATACAACCTGATAATACCATCAGTCTCGCCCCGCGGATTTTTGGCAACACATTTGTATATGCCATCATCAGAACTGCTAACGTTAATTATAGTCAGCTTCATATGAGTTTTGTACACCGGTACGCCAATGCTAGACTCAACTCTGAAAAGACCCAATTCATTATTAAACGCAAGAGAAATTATCTCATGCTCCGAGTTTATCCAATTTCATTTCAGAAACGGTTTAAGATCAATGAAGTTTAACTTTCACTTACTTGAATTTACCGGAATCGTGTATAATTGGTCCCTCTCCCCGTGTCCAATAATTCAGTGACGTAGGGTGAGCTTCGGTTAAACATTCGATTGTCACATTGAAACCTTCCGGCGCGCCCACTAATTGATGTGGTATTGTTAACATAGGTGGAACTAAAAAGCAAAGAGAACTGATGCTATATTTTTTGTGCAGAATTATTATTATTAAATAGTATTAAAATAAAGCGAACAACAATGACTGTTGCTTAGCGACGAAACGTAACGACGGCAAACGTCAACCTCAATATAAATCTGCAAGCAACAACTTCCAATGGTCAAGCCCAATTTTAAGCTAACATCTTTATTCTTGCGACCAGAACAATGTTTATGAAAGACATAACATTGAGGGATAGAGTGACAGACAGACAGACAGACATGTTTGCACATTCTTACAATTAGATGGTGATCCAGAATATATATACACTATGGCGTCTCTGTAGGTTTCTTCGCGATATTGCAAACAATGTCACAACATGTTGTCTATGTCCCTATATTGTCTATGTCTATGCTTGGAAAGTCATCTTGGCGAAGAACAACGCCTTAATAATTAATAATGCATAATTGGGCTGATATCCTGGTCCGATCAGAAAACTACCTTCCATGTTCGAATGTTCTTCCTTGTATTTTTTCTTTAAAGATTTCATATGGGATCAGGCATGGGCAACCTCCAGGTCGTGACGTCGTGGAGCCCGGCCCACTGCATTTAATATTTTAATTAATTTGATTTGTTCACGTATAGCGATACTGCAAAGGGATTATATCTGCGTTCATTGTCGGCTCAGCTGTGCAGCTATCAAATGTGAAATGTCTTAAGTATTTCTTTCTTTAGTTTGCTTTTCATTAGGCCGTAAAATGGGGATCGGTGATAAATACCGCATTTTTTACAATAGTTGGAAGTTTTTTGGCCCATTGATGAAAGAACATGGCTACCGCTGGGCTAGACCGCGCCCCTCTTGCTGCGTCTACGAAAGGTCGAAAGATTGACACGGTAAACAGTGTGATTGGACACAAACATCCAACTTTCAAAATGGTGAATAAACAGACCAAAGGGAAGGTGCGTACTCCGTCCACAATCACATATATAAAAATGAGAAAAGGTGATATTTTTCAATCCGTAACAAGTAATGGCATAAGATTTTGTTCGTCTAAAACTTCACTAAACAAAGTGTGAAATACAGCGTAAATCCGATCAAAATTCTTTTTATTGCAATGCAGCAAACGGCTTGATCGGCCAATGGAAATGCATTAATTTATTAAGCCTTTGACGCTTTGATAATAAAAGTACCGGGGCCGGTTTATGGTTCTCGATATCGAGTGAACTCGATCGTAGTTTATATATGTTACTTGCGATCGAACAATATTTTATTCATTAGTAAGAAAAACGTATCATTTATGGGTAGATGTGAACTCTCCGCAGCGCTGCAGCGAGTCTACTATCCGCAGCTAGCGAGTTTCTTCGGTGTGGAAACTATAAAGCGGCCCCATATCAGTCGACTAATGTACCATTAAAGTTTAACATAAAGTGAAAAATGAAGTTAATCTGATCGGGAACTAAAGCGTTCCCTTCGTCTGAATAGACTTATTAAGCGTTCACATCTTAGCTGATTTATGAATGATAAAGAATTCCGATATGTATGTTATGCGGTTATGTTAGAGAATGTAATGTAATTCCCGGTAAGTCGATGCAAATGAAATAGACAAATGCACAAAAAATTGTCTTAAATCAATTATGAAAATTAAATAAAAACTACATTAGCTTTTTCTTCCGCAGATGCTTTACGTTTTCATATGTTTGCGCTTTTATACTAACGTCAACAAATAATACAATTCCCGGTTTTCGCGTATACCATACCTCCCACTTCTTTGTATTGTTCAAATCTAAGAAAATGTGCGCGTGTGTGTGTGTGTGTGTGTGTGTGTACGTCTATGTGCGTGTATGCTTGTATGCGTGTTATATATGCATGACATGCAATGATAAAGAACAAAAACAATCTAACTTTTTCGTTTCAGTCGTGGCTTCACGCTTCTGCGTCTTCTCAACTACACTTAGAAGGAGAGGCATTAACAACTTGCCTAAAAATAATCCCTATAATCTCCAAAAAGATTAAGGTTCCCTCAACGATGTGTAGATGTATTATGTAAGTGAAGCAAATTGAAAATTAATTTGAACCAAAAAATTTGAACAAAAAAATACTTTAATTGATACTTGGAGAAATATTTCCGAGTTAATTCATTTTTTCTCTAAGTGTATCATAGTTCGTTTCATAACATTTCAAGTCGGTTCTCTCGAGCCGCTCAACAAAAACATAGCTTTTCGTATTGCATAAGAAATGTAAGAAAAGACGGGAAAAATCTTGAAAAATTTTATGAATAGTAATAATTTTTTTATTTATTTTTTTTTTTTTTTTTAGTTTTGAATGAAAAGTTCTTGAAAGTTGAGTTTTGTTTTCTTTTTCTCGTTTCTCGTTTCTTTTTGTTTTTGTTTTTTTTTTTTTTTTTTTTTTAAACACAAGGTAAGGAATTATATCTTGCGCTAGAGTAATTATTATATGTATATGTATATTATATATATATCCGCGTACAAAAGCACTTGAAGAAGGATTTTCTTTTATATATGGTATTTTGTGTTTGCTTTCGCATTTCTGTTGTTGATGTTGTTGCGATTGTTGTTTTCTCTACCGATTTCGAACACTCCTATGGTGTGGAAAGCTTTTAATTAAAAAATGAAATTGTCACCAGAACCGCAACCCTTATAAACTCTTAACCATCAAATATAAATGAGCAGCAGCTTGAATGCTTTGCAATGATAATTATTATGAATTTTTTGCCATTAGCTTTATTACCTGACTAAAGAATAAACCAAGAACCTAACTAAACAAAAAAAAAAAAAAAGAAAAAAAAAAACGCGAAGATGAAACACAAAAAAAGAAAATATGAAAAGAAGGACACAATGATGCAATGACAACATTCGCTGTACTGGTTTTCCATCATAATTATTCGGTCAGTGTTCAAATATGCTTTTATGTTAAGCACAGAAAAAGAGAGAAAAAAAAAGAAAATTGTAAATTTATATAAACTTAAGTGGGTTTATTTTGGTTGTCATTAAAATTTTGTACCCTTTTTTTTTCCTTGTTTCGTTATATAGAAACTAAGTTTTTTTGTTGCAACAATTTTAATATTAATGTGAATGTAATACAATGATCAATAATTTAAGGGACTACGACAAAAATGTTGTCTCTAGCAAAAAGCTAATATTATTTTTAGAAAATGCTAATATCCAAACCAAGCCTATGAAATTTCATATTTAGGAGCGTTAGAGATTTTGCCCTGAAAATGGTTATGAAAACTATAGTCTAACAAACGTAGAGACTTGTCAGTGATATATTGATTATAAATGAATTTATGTGAACCCTGATTACGGCTTAAGGCAGTGAATGCCCATAATAGAGAATATTAAAAAAAAAAATGCTGAAAATTATTGCGGACGCTTGAGAACAGAAGTTCCAGAAGAGATAGCTTAGTCTGCTCACTGTTCTGCGTGAAAATGTTGACACGCGAAAGTTGTTTTCACAACGAAGCGAAAGCATAATAAAATTGTTTGAATAGAAGTTCGTATCGCTGCTCACCCCGTTACGTTTTCCACACCCCCGGCTATTATTATCTGTTTGCAAATTTCAAAAGAAACCCTGGAACAACCCTGGATTTAAACTAAAGCGTTTTTTTAAGAGTTTTAGCAAATCGTTTAAAGCCATCGAAATTTTAGTGAACCAATGGATTGATTACATTACTCTGGAAGGAATTGAACAAAAACACTGCATTCTTTTATACTTAGCCACGGGAATTATTGACCGAGTTATCACTTTAAATAGCAAGCAGAACAGTTTTGCATTATTTGGTTACGTATTTTATTCGAATTTAAACAAATGAAACTATTCTACATAAAAGGCCGAGATAGAAATATAAAATTTTTTAACGGATCAGCGAAGCTGATGAAATCAGTTGCACTTAAAATAAATTTAATAAATACTTTATCTGCGAAATACTCGATGCATTTCTGCGAAAAGACTGTTTCGCTTTCAAGGCGACGTGGGCATAAAAAATTCTAGCACGTATAATGGTGATTGGAAGCAAAAAAATGAAGTGAGCCATCATAGCACACAAATTTCGAATTCAATAAAGAGCGCAGCGCTTATGTGTAAGCGCAATACATTGAATGATCGAGCGACCATACTTTAAATTCGTGGGAAAATAATATTGTATGGCATTATTTTGTGGCCTATTCGTTCCAGGACCTAAAAGATGTATCGTTTTTGTCCATGTTCGCAGCCCCTCACTTTTATGGTTCGGAGAACACCCCTCCAACCATATGAGCCCCAGCATGTTCTCCGGTTCAGAACAACGTATTGTGTTTGGCCTTATGAAGCACCCGACGTCTACCTGTGCAGATGGCCGCACATTCACATAGGATGTGAGAGGACGTTTCACTCGTCAGTGGGAAAGCAGGAAGATAGCTAGCTATCAACGTCTTAATGTAATTTTTGGATATTCAAAACCTAAGCTAAATACTTGAGGATAATTCAACTTCAAATGTAAGAAGATTGAGATTAAGCTTGAATCGAAGTTTTCCTGCAATCTCTTGATTATTATATTTACTTAAAAAAACTTACTTAAAAAAAAAGTAAAAGTTTTCGAATTTCCCGAGAAGAGAAATGCTTTATTAAGTCAACTGAAACCAATGAAATTGTTTCGTAATCATAATCATTAAGCTTTCTATCGCCCCCTTATTTTAATAAAGTTGCCAAATATGCAGTCGACTTTTCCAAAACTTATTCGTTATATTTTATTTTATTAATATTATATAAAACAAGTTTTAAATAATTATTGTTTGATTAATTTCCCCAATCCGCGCATTCAAAAGTATATTTATTCTGAGTTGTTTTTTATTTCATTTTCCTTTTGAAACTTTTGTCATAAAAAAAAAAATAAAAATAATAAAAAATAAAACAAAAGTGATTTGTTCGCTTTTGAAAAAAAAAAGAGCAGAACAACCGTACGTTGTATATAAATTGTGCAGTGAATTAAATGCAAAGGACTTCCCTCTTGTAAATACCAGC